TTGCCTATTAAATACTACACTATGGAAGGCTTTCTTGTCTTTTTATGAGTTGCATAAGAGAGGAGGAGGAATAAGGAGTCTGCCAGAGGAATACACCACTGAGGTGGTAACTGCTTTGAGGCCCTGTGTGGGTCGAGAAGGGAGGAGAGCAGGCATTGCTGCCATTTGAAGGAGAGTACTTGCACTTAGAAGTGGAGATCACGTGTGTGTTCCAGCTTAAAGCACAGTCACATGCATGGAATATTTTTTTCACCTTTGATATTGTCTTGTTCACCTATGGCATATATCATTTATGTATAATTTAGACACCATTGTATGTGGCCAAATTCTGTTTTCACGTATATATATATTCTGTTCATTATATTTGATTTATGCACTATATATTTAGTTTCCTAATGTGTGTTATTTAGCTATTTTGGTTGACACTATTTTTTCTTTTCACTAGATGGGGAGTCAACACACATTTATTATATATAGTGGTCACTTTGATTTATAATTACACTATATGGAGATACATGATTGTATTCATGTGGACCTACAAGCGCTTCACTAATTTTTAATTTCATTTCCTGACTACCTATCACAATTTTGAAAGCCCTGGAGCACCAGGACTATGGAATTACCTTTGGATGCCTGGCTATCTTCTGGGAGTGCTACGCTGCTTGTACTTGCCACTACACTACTGGTGGATGCCTGCTCCTCCTCAGATCTCCTGAACCTTTTTGTTTGGACTCTCTCCTACTCAGATTCCATTGGTGACCCATTGCTTTCAATTGGCTCATACTCAGAATCTGAGTCTGACAAAGAGGGTTCCCTGCTACTCTCGTCCGTCATACTCATTATCTGGAAAGCCTCCTTGCTGGTGCATAATTTTTTAGACATTTTGATGTTCACTGGTTTACAGACAGTTTATCACTGGTACAGATGTTGATTTGACACTGGTACACTGTGACAGATATTGAGCACTGGTAAACTGTGACAGATGTGGCTTTGACCCTGGTAGGCCATGACAGATGTTGAGCACTGGTACAGAAGTGGATGAGCACTGGTATACTGACAGATGTGGATCACTGGTGCAGATGCAAATTTTACACTGGTACACGTGACAGATGTGGACCACTGGTACAGGTGTGGATGACCACTGGTACACCGTGATGGATGTGGATCACTGATACCGTGTGACAGGTGTTGATCACTGGTACTGTGACAGATGTTGATCACTGGTACTGTGACAGATGTGGATCATGGGTACTGTGACAGATGTGGATCACTAGCACTGTGACAGATGTGGCTCACAGGTACTGTGACAGATGTGGATCACTGGAACTGCAACAGATGTGGATCACTGGAACTGCAACAGATGTGGATCACTGGAACTGCAACAGATGTGGATCACAGATGTGGATCATGGATACGGTGACAGATGTGACTTACGGGTACTGTGACAGATGTAGATCACTGGCACTGTGACAGATGTGGATCACGGGTACTGTGACAGATGTGGATCACTGGAACTGCAACAGATGTGGATCAGTGGAACTGCAACAGATGTGGATCACAGATGTGGATCATGGATACGGTGACAGATGTGACTTACAGGTACTGTGACAGATGTAGATCACTGGCACTGTGACAGATGTGGATCACGGGTACTGTGACAGATGTGGATCACTGGCACTGTGACAGATGTGGATCACGGGTACTGTGACAGATGTCGATCATGGGTACGGTGACAGATGTGACTCACGGGTACTGTGACAGATGTGGATCACTGGTATAGTGACAGATGTGGCTCACGGGTACTGTGACAGATGTGGATCACTGGCACTGTGACAGATGTGGATCACAGGTACGGTGACAGATGTGGATCATGGGTACGGTGACAGATGTGACTTATGGGTACTGTGACAGATGTGGATCACTGTTATAGTGACAGATGTGGCTCACGGGTACTGTGACATATGTGGATTACCTGTACTCTGACAGATGTGGATCACAGATGTGGATCACTGGTACTGTGACAGGGTGATGTGTAGGCGATGTGATTGTGTGTACTTGCTGATTGGCTCTGTTTCTCCTCACTCACGGGCTCTGTGAGGAGAGGCAGAGCCGTTCAACTGAATGGCGGTTTTGTTGACATCTCATGATGGTTGTGATTGGACACAGCCATCATGTGATCAGAAGGGCCAATCAGAGGGCCCTTCTGCCGAGCGGTGTTGCACTGTGTCCAAGGGATACAGGCACATCGAGAATCAGCCGCTCTTGTGAGCGTGTTCTGAAGGACGCTCCTGAACGTCCACTCAGAACAACGAAGCTCCCACCTGGCCGTTTATGTGCAGTGGCCGGGTGGGAAGCGGGTAAACAAAGCAGAGAGGATCTGAAAAATGTCTTCCCAAAAGGTGGCAACTTTAGGGCAAGACCACCATATGTGGTAATGTGTGCCCAGATGTCCACAGTCACAGAAATACTTGGGTGGATAATGAGGAAAATATTTAGAAATTCTGGCTGGTCCAGAGCATCATGACTTTTTAGTTTACCTCCAAGGCTGCAATAGTTTGGGATGAAGATTTAGTATTAGCCCATGTGCCCAGCCAATATTCCTGTGACAACGTTACATCAAGGTCTGTTTCCCACTTACGAGTGTAGCCTGGGAGCCTACAACCAGGTTTTGTCAGTAGTAATTGGTACAGTGTCAATATAAGTCCACAAGCATGCGGATCTTTACTAAAGAAGCGTTCAAACGCAGTTATTGTGTCAAGTGTCTCTAGCTTGCAAAAGGGAGTGTAGAAATGCTTAAGCTGTAAGTAACAGAAGACTTCTAATAATAACAGAAGTCTAATAATATCCAAGTACTCTATATGGCAGCACAGTGGGTAGCACTTCCACCTGGCAGCACTAGGGTCACTGGTTTGAATCCTAACCATGCAACTACCTACCTGGAGTTTGAATGTTCTCCTTGTGCATACATGGGTTTTCTCGGGATACTCAATTTCCTACCACACTCCAAAGACATTTTGGTAGGTTAATTGGTCCTAGTATGTGTATGTTTGAATGTAAGTTAGGGAACCTAAATTATAAGCTTCTTGAGGGAATGTACAATATATATACTGTATGTATAAATAGTCACATTAACCTTTTTGTCACTGGAGTGTTATTGCAAACCAGAGCAAGGTTCATTGTGTATGTGGAGCAGGGGCAGACTGACCATTTGGAAACTCGGGCACTGCCCGAGGGCCCGGGGTCAGTAGGGGGCCCCATGAGATGCCCCTGGTACCTTTTTCATAGGCTTTTTTGAGTTAGGGCAAGGACACAGGGGCCCCCTGATCCCCTATTGCCCGGGGGCCCCATGAGTTGTCAGTCCGCCCCTGATGTGGAGTTTTCCTGTCCTGCTCCACCACACTGACATTAATGGGTTGATTATTGGTTGCATTTTAAAGAGGAACCCCATGATTTTCCTTTTTTTTTTTTTTTAATTAATATATGACTAATAATAATAATGAAAAACAATACATGTATGTACATTTTTGACAATATAGTCATAATTGACAATGTAGTCAATATAGTCATTTTGACAATGACTTTTTACACACCAGTGGCTTGCTTCTTGGATTTTTCCATCTGCTTCTATTCTGTATATTTTTTGTTTACAATCCCTTCCCAGATGTCAACTTTTTTCTGGTTGACCGTGTAACGTTTGTGGCACTGGTCATACAGCTCTGAGTGCATCTAAACCATGATGACTAAAGCAACAACATTCATCCCTCCCTCATCTGGGATTGTAATGGATGAAAACACTATGTACAGATCTGACACACACTCTACTAACTAGGAAATGGAATGGGGAGAAGGGGTCAATAGAGGGGTCCTAATGGTAAATCTTTTTTTTTTTGTCCTCATTGATGCACATTGGATTGCATTGACACATTTTCACACATTGCACTGCTAGAAAAATGCAGCTTGCTGTACCACTTTTTCAGAGCACTGCTATGCAGCACAATGGTGGGAACTTGTCTCATTTGAGAACATTGCTTTTAGAATGTCTATGTGTTGGGGAACGTATTGAAAACTGCATCCAAACACATCTGGTGTGATACATCTTAATGATTTATTAATGAATAAAATGCTGCAGTAGGTTGTGTATTTCATATCTACCTAGAGTTCAGCTTTAATAAAGCTCTGTCGCAGCGATGAAGTCATCAGCCTGTATGATGTTTGCTTCAGAAACTTCAAGTGTCATCATATATAAATGTGCTTAGCCTCCTAAAGAAAAAACAAAGAGATGATACATACATCATATTATTTTCAGACATGTTGGCTTTAGATCAAATGAATATTCAGAAAGACCAAAATGTTGAAAATCAATGTATCACTTGCAATATGTACCATATGGCAAACATATGTCATTTTGTAACATGCCTTGAAAGTCAAATAATCTCCTATAATACATAATATATTGGCAACAGTGCCAGTGCAAATATGTGCACCTTAAATACTGAGTATTAGAAAAGGAATATTAGGGCTCATTCACATGGGTGCAGAGTTCCATACAGCATGAAGAGCTATTTGTTCATCTTTCTGTACTAGCGTGTGGCTGCATGGATGTCTACATAAGTGAATGGTCACACAGCAGATGTACAGAATTACCTGCACAGCAGAGTCTAACAGGTATGTGGGTCTATACAGTCAAAGCATATAATTCACTTCCATAGGTTGCCTCCACGCAGCTATACACTAGTACAAAAAGATAAACAAATGGCTCCGCATGCTGTATGGGGCTCTGCACCTATGTGAATGAGACTTTATTATTGTACTAATTGCTGAATAACCAAATCATAATTTTTGCTATGGGTGGAGGAATCTTGAGGCAAACTGTAACCTGCATCTAAATTTATTATCATAACACTTTGTTTTGCAAGACTGCAAGGTGGATACAATAAGGGAACAGCATTTCTTTCATGATTTTTAAAACATTAATTTTTTACATGGTATATAATATAGTTTGTCCACAAAGATCAGTCATTATCAGGGGTGGACTGACAACTCATGGGCCCCCAGGCAATAGGGGATCATGGGGCCCCTGGGTCCTTGCCCAAACTCAAAAAACCTATGAAAAAGGTACCAGGGGCATCTCATGGGGCCCCCTACTGACCCCGGGCCCTCGAGCAGTGCCCAAGTTTCCAAATGGTCAGTCCGTCCCTTGTCATTATGCTGCAGTAAACGGAACAAGCTAGCAAATCTCAGCCATGTAAAGACAGAACTCTGGGGAATTTGTCCCCTGGGCAAGAAAAACTAAGAAAGAATGGGCTGGTGGCCCATTAAAATTTTGATCTGAGTTGGAATCACAGTCAAATACAGTTCCTTGGCATTATATAGCTACCTGCTCCTGATTCGCTTCAAGATGTTATATGACTGAACAATTAACTATGACTGAATATATAACAGGGTGCCAGAGACGGGTCTTGAAGGGTAAATATGTATCCCCACCTTTGAGAGAGACCTGAAAAGGGAAGGAAGCAGTCAGCAGGTATTGATGAGGGTTTGTGCGGAATAGGACCCAGTGGCTGAAAGAGCTGTAGTCTGTTTGGCTAATCTGATTCTGTTGGATTGTTGTGCTCTTTTTTCCTGGGCCTCTGGAGCAGGAAGGAACTTTAAAATCTGTTGTGGAACAAATTTATCCTTCTAGTAAGTCAAAGTGTAAGAGGTGTAGAAAATAGGCAGCCCCATAAAATTTAAATCCAAAGCCTAATACCTAATATCACAGTAATCTATATTTGTCAATAGAAGATACTAGTGATTGCATTTTTATTGTACCATCACAAGAGGGCAGAACTACTTCCTGTGATAATAGGAAGACACAGAAGTGGGAACTGAAAATCTAGCACTTTATTTCTTACAGGACAGTGATTACAGTGAACATATCCAGTCACTGTATATGTATAGGGTGACACCGCCCTCAGAAGAAGGGACCTGGTGAGCAGCAGTGGACTGAGCCATGCAGAGCCGCAATAAGAGGAATACCACTGGTGGTAGTCCTGTAGGGGGCCCAGACAGTAGGAGGACTGGTGTGTTGGGGGAAAGCAGTTGCAGAACAATGCCCTGTGTATCTCCCACCAGCAGCTAAAAGCCGGGTTCTCCCCCTCTCCCTCCCACCAGCTTTCTGCTGCTGAAGGGAGAAACAGACCTGGCCGGATCGAGGGATTTTCCTGAGTGGCCGCTGAGCTCCTTCCCCCCGCCCGCACTCAGAGCTGGGACCAGGAGAAAGCCTGGAGCAGGGAGAGGAGAAGTGTCAGAGAGGAAAGAGCCAGGAGAAGGTGAGCTGTGTTGTGTTCTCTGGGCTTTCCCTCCTGTCATCCATGCAGCACATGAGATGGGATCACTGATAGATCATATGGGACGGCCACACACAGTATGATTGCCACCCCATACCCACATTTCCTGCTGCCTGGAGATCAGCAGCCCTTGGAGGAAGTAGGGAAAGGTAATCATACTGTATGTGTGCAGGCAGAGAGAAAGAAAGAGAAAGAGAGAAAAAGAGAGAAAAAAGAAATAGAGAGAGAAATGAGAGAGAGAGAGGGGGGGAGAGAGAGAGAGAAATAAGATGGAGAGAGAGAGAGAGAGAGAGAGAGAGAAGAAAATCTTACATATATACACACTCATTGAACTATCTTGCTCTCTCATTGGGGGGGCAGCACAAAATCTAGATACAACACTGAGCATCTGTCCAAATTCCATACTTTCAACTCTCACTGCCTCTTTTACAATCCATTTCTTCAGCCTTCTTAACTTTTTCCTTTCCTCCGCAATTCATGACATGCTGTTAACAAATAGCAGCTTAAAGTACAGATAGACAGTAACAAGGAAATTCTCTGCTTTCATACCCCAGACTTAAAAAAGACCCTATCAATATAAAATAAAATATTGAAAAAAAAACACAAAATACATGGAAATGAAAACCCCAAATAAACCCCCAAAAAATCAGAAAAGTAAAAAACATTATGAAAATCCCGAAACACCTCTTGAAACAAACGCCCATTTTTTTTTGTAATTGAATCCTTGCAGCAAAATAAAGTTTGCTATAGACAGGACAGCAGCTAAAAGTGACTACTGACCAGGGGCGGACTAACCATTTGGAAACTCGGGCACTGCCCGAGGGCCCAGGGTCAGTAGGAAGACACAGAAGTGGGAACTGAAAATCTAGCACTTTGTTTCTTACAGGACAGTGATTACAGTGAACATATCCAGTCACTGTACATGTATAGCAGCGCCCTCAGCAGCGCCATACTCCACAATGGTCAATCAGCAAACACCAATGGCACTAGACCCCAGGATGAAAGGCCTAGTACCAGCACCATTGGAATATCCCACCAGGCCCCAAGAATTAGGGCTCAAATATATCTTCCTGATGCCCTGGCAAATCCACTATGGCTGCCTTCCAGCTCAGGATCAGCTTCAATCCCCCCTTTCACCGCACAGCCAGGTGTGCAGACCAATACTGAAAATTTTTCTGAAATTTATTTTTTTTATTTGCGTTTTTCCCTGCCGATTTACTTCAATACATTGTGGACCAGCAATTTATTAATAACAATCCCAATACATCCTATACCCATCATTTTCAATGGAGACGTCTCACAGTGGAGGAGTTAAAATTGTTTTTGGGTCTTACATTTAAGATGGGGCTTACAAAAAAATGAATTGCATGCCTACTGGTCCACCAACCCCATCCATCATATGCCCATTTATTCTGCTTTAATGTCCAGGTTACTCTATGATCTGATCCTGCATTTCAATGATAACTCACAGTGCCCTCCCTGAGATCATCCAAACTATTGCAAACTGTATAAAACCGCCTCCTAATAAATTCTTTTGCTAAAAGATTTGTAGGACTTTATGTGCCTGAGCAACACATTTGTGTGGATGAATCCCTTATCTACTTCACTGGCCGGCTGGGATTCAAGCAATACATTCCCAGTAATAGGGTCAGGTATGGATTGAAACTGAACAAGCTATGAGAGCTACAGGATATCTGCATACCTTCTGTGTTTACAAAGGCAAAGACTCTCAGCTCCAGCCCCGAGTGCCCAACCTACATTGGCAGAAGTGATAAAATTGTCTTGGACCTGGCATTCCCACTGTTCCAAAAAGGTTATCATACAGTATATACCTTGATAACTACTATACCCCTTTTCCATCACCTGTATCATAAGAAAACCTTAGCCTACAGTACCACCTGAAAAAACAGAAAGGGCTTCCCACAAAGTTTAGTAACCACAAGGCTACAAAGGAGGGAATCCGCAAGTCTGAGAAATGAGGAAGTATTGGATGTTTACGTCCTGTCCACAATCCACAATGACACCTCAGTGGAATGTATCCACGATTATAATTGGTTCATGGGGGGGGGGGGTGGATTTAAATGATCAGATGCTACAGCCCTATTTGTCAACAAGAAAGTCCCTCTACTGGTATAAAAAAGTTGCAATTTATTTTTCCCATTTGGCCATTTACAATACATTTGTCATCTATCAAAAGTCAACAGAAAGACCCACCACCCTCCTCAAATATATTTAAAAAAAAGATTTTATTTTCTTTCCACATTTTTCAATAACTTGTGGGAAAAAATTACACATTCAAAATGCCTCATAGAATATACGTTGGGGTGTTTACTTTCCAAAATAGGATCATTTTGTGGGTAATTCCATTGTCCTGGTGCTCTAGGTGATAGGTAATCAGGAAACTAAAAGTGTAATCTGTGCCCCTAGAACACCTGATGGTGCTAATTAGATGCTGGGCCTCTGTATGTGGCTAGGCTGTGTAAAAGTCTCACACATGTGGTATCACCATTTTCAGGACAGGTAGCTGAATGTATTTTGGGGTGTAATTCTTGGTATGAACATGCTATGTTTTAGAAATATCTTTGTGTAGGGTGCGCATGTGCGAGCCGGCGGGACGAACATGTCTCCCTGAGGCTCCAACACGCTGCAGGGACAACAGCCGCCCGAACTCCGATCCCGGCCCACACTGAAGTATAAGCGGCCTCGGTCACTGTGGCAACCCCCCTGGCACTGGCCAGCATGGTCGGGAGTGTCCCGACACCAGGCTCTGCCGCCCAGCAAGCCCATTAAAGAGGCTTGAGCCTCATCCAAAATGGCCAACGCTGCAGTCCCTGGAAGCAAGGCACAGACACAGCCCTATGCTGCCCTGCAGACAGCTCACCCCAGCCCCTCCTGCACATCAGATGGTGAGTCAGACACAGACCTGGGACCCCCTCACGCGCTCCCACCTCTGACTTCTCTTCACCTGACCTTTTCATGCGCTTTGAGAAGATGCTACACAAAGCCCTGAAACAAACCTCTGACCGCATTACTGACAAGTTGTCTAAGGAAATTCGTGAATTGAGACAAGGTACCGCTGACTTGGAACAACGGGTCGATGACCTTGATGCCTCTTTTCAGACACATTCAGATGACCTTGACCTCCTGCGCGACGAGAATGCAACACTACAATCATGCGTCGAGGACTTTGAAAACCGGGCTCTCCGTTCAAACTTGCAGATACGTGGCCTTCCAGAATCGATTGTAGATGTTCTTTCAAGAGCTCGCTCCTGCTATTCCAATAGAACACCTAGAAATGGACAGAGTCCACAGGGCACTGGCCCCACGCCACGCCGACGGCCCCCCATGCGCCATTATTGCCAAGCTCCATTTCTTTCGCACCAAAGAGCAGCTCCTGCAAGCAGCCCACAATGTGGGATCCCTGTCATTCCATGGCCACTCCTATCAGCTGTTCCAGGACTTATGCCGTACAACCATCGCAAAATGTAGAGCTATGAAACCCCACCTACAAGCTCTTCAGCAACATGGCATACCATACAAGTGGAGCTTCCCATTCGCAGTACGCTTCCGCTTCTAAGCCCGAGACTACACCTGCAAGATCCCTGAGGACCTCCTAGACACATTACGGAACCTCCAACTCCAACCACCAGCGACCCCATCTGATGGTTCCCGCCGACGATCAGCGTCCTGCTCTCTGCATCCTACTCATCCTGCCATGGGTCAACTCAATGCCCACAAAAGAGGACATTTCTTCTCGCCTGCCCCGACCCACCAAGACTCCATGGATTGAAGTCTGCCTACCTGTATAGGCTTCGTAGACCTGATCAGATTACCAAACCTTTTCGATTACGTATTTCCCCGGGCAATTTCACTAGTAACCCTGAGCGCATCCTACAAGTCTTCCGCAAACATCTCTCACAACTCTACTCTCCCTCTGAACCTTTTGAACCGTCCCACGCTGAAACTCTCTTGGCCAACCTCTCTCTGCCGAAGCTTTCGGACCACCAGCTAGCTGCCCTAGAATGTTTAATTACCCCCATTGAAACTTTAAACAATATAAAAAACCTGAAATTACGCTAACGCCCAGGCCCAGATGGCTTCTCCGCTACCTACTATAAAAAATTCGCCCATCTCCTTTCACCTATTCTAACAAATGTTTTTAATGCAATCCTATCTGGCTACTCCTTCAATCCCAAAACGGTAATGGCTAACATTTCCATGATCTCGAAACCAAACTCAGATGATGCACAGTGGTCAAGCTACAGACTAATCTCCCTCCTCAACATAGACATTAAGCTTCTTGCAAAGATTCTTTCTACCCATCTCAATCCTTGCATAGGATCCCTAATTCACAATGACCAAGTAGGCTTTATCCCCACCCAGCAAGCTGGAGACAACATCAGACGTGCAGCCCTCCTGTTCATATAGCCCAATCCCGTAACATTCCCACCTGCTTCTTGTCCCTAGACATCAGAAAAGCTTTTGATACAGCCTCGTGGCCATACCTCGACCATATTCTATGCCAGTGGGGCTTTGGACCCCACTTTTTGTCTCGGATCTTCTCTTTATACCACGAACCCTAAGCTAGAATTAGATATTTGGGACATAGGTCGGCTCAGTTTCCAATCTCCCGGGAACTCGACAGGGCTGCCTTCTATTTCCCCTGCTCTTCGCCCTAGCCATAGAGCCTTTGGCCCTTCTGATAAGAGCTAATCCAGATGTTCGTGGACTCGAAATAGGTGGTTCCCATCACAAGCTTTGCTTTTTCGCCGATGACGTTCTACTCTCTTACCTCTCCTTTGACCTCCTCCCCTACCCTTCATATTAATCCCCAGAAATTGGTAGTACTTAACATATCCCTTCCCCCCCGGGATCTGGCCCATCTGAAACAGGTCCTCCCATTCTCCTAGTCACAGTTTTCTATCCCATTCCTAGGCATAAAGCTGACCTCTAACCTTTCAGACCTATACACGGCTAACTATATGCCTATGCTGACCCATGTCACGGTCCTCATGACCAAGTGGTCCTCCCTGCCTCTGGCCTGGTTGGGAAGGATTTCAGTCGTGAAAATGTCTATACTTCCCGAAATACTTTATCTATTTAGAGTCCTCCCCATCCCAGTACCCACACATTACCTCCGTATCCTACAGCGTTGTATATACACCTACGTTTGGGGCCCCACTCACCCCCACATACCCCGCTCTACCTACAATCAACCAAAACTCAGAGGCGGCCTTGGCCTTCCAGATATCAGCAAATACTACCAAACGGTACACCTTGCACAGTTACCTAAATACTACGCAACCCATGAAATTCAAAAATGAGTCGCCCTTGAATCCATAGACTGTGACCCCCTTTCAACCGCTAACCTCCTTTGGCTAAGACCCACTGACCGTCGTTCATTATTGAACCCCATCACATCCCGTTATATTTCACTATGGGACAAACTGAAATCTCGCTACCTCTTGCAATCACCACATAACCCCTTGCTTTCTTATCTCCGGAATCCAGCCTTCCCCTCAGCCTGGTCCTCCCCACTCTCCTTTAGGCAATGGACCTCAGCCAATCTCCTCTGCCCCCATCACTTCCTGAAGAAGGGTGGGTTCAAATCTTTTGCTTCACTTCGTGAGACACATGCCCTACCAGCCTCATAAATATTTAGATATTTACAACTGAAACATTTTTACGCTCCATACACCACAATACCCCCCTTCCTACCAGCTCAATGTCTCCCTTTGAATGAGCTTGCTACAGAGGCGAGGCCTAATCTCATATCTCTACTCCCTTCTCTCTACCTCTGAATCCACGCCACCCCCTCCTTATGTCCACAGATGGGAGATAGACCTCGGTCACCGACTGGACCCTTCTGATTGGGACCTTATCTGGTCCAATACCAAATCCTCATCGCAAAACGTAGTAGCCCTGGAAACTAACTATAAAGTTCTAACTCGCTGGTACCTGGTCCCAGTGAGGATCGCCAAATATACTCCAAACTACTCCCCTGACTGTTTTCGAGGTTGTGCGGTGGCAGGAACACATTATCATACTTGGTGGACATGCCCGGTAGCCCGTGCCTTCTGGGCTGACATTTTTCACATCTTGTCTAGACTTAATGCAATAACACTCACACCTGACCCATTCATAGCCCTCTAAACCTGTGCCCCCCTAGCGTTACCAAGCTTCAATTTAAACTCCTTTTACAAGTCACTACAGCTGCCAAGCAGGTCATAGCCAAATCATGGAAATCTCCTTCCCTAAACATAGTAGCAGTAAAGAATAAGGTTACACAGGCTATGATCCATGCTAAAGTGGAAGCCACAATCTTGGATACTCTCCCCAGGTTTCTGAGAATATGAAATCCATGGGTGAAATGTTTCCTCCCATCAAACTTTGACGACTCATTCCTTCTTCCTTGATATACTCATTCCCATTGTCCTGACCCTATATTGAGTCAATCTTCGATATAATATGTCTCTAACCCTCCTACACCACTCTTGGAGTCACACGTCCTCTTCCCGCCCCTCTATTCCTTCCCCAGTCCTTTCTATTCTTACTCCCTCGACCCACTTCCTTCTGACCTTTCCACACCGGCCTACCTCTTCTCTTTTCCCGAACCCGATACAAGATCCTGGGGAGCTCACCTCCATATCCACATTGTACTTTGAATATATATGTGTACGTAAGGTTTTGCCTTCCTCCCACCGTCCATGCTGTTGCATTTATGTATTTGTGCTTCTCTCCCCACCTCTATAAGGGCACCATTCCTGTTGCCGCTAATACTCTTGTACACATGTTTATTGAGTGCCCTATGTCTATGTCTCTCATCCCTTGTTAAACTAATAAAATATTTGAACAAGAAATATCTTTGTGTAAAAAAAAACTTTGTGCAAAAAAAAAAATGTTTTAATTTTCTTTCCACATTTTTCAAAGACTTGTGGGGAAAAAAATGACACGTTCAAACTGCTTCATAGAATATACGTTAATGTGTTTGATATCCAAAATGGGGTCATTTTGTGGGTAATTCCATTGTCCTGGGGATCTAGGGCCTTCAAAAATGTGATAGGTAATCAGGAAATTAAAAGTGTAATTTATGCCCTAGAACGCCTGAAGGTGCTTCTTGGATGTTGGGCCTCTGTATGTGGCCAGGCTGTGAAAAAGTCTCACACATGTGGTATCACCATACTCAGGAGGAGTAGCAGAATTGTGTTTTGGGGGGTGTATTTGCAACTATGCATATGCCATGTGTGAGAAAGAACTTGTTAATATGGCAATTCTGTGTTAAAAAAAATTAATTTCTTAATTTTCCTAAGAATTGTGGGGAAAACATTACAACTTCAAAAACTCACCATGCCTCCTATTAAATAGCTTGGACTGTCTATTTTCCACAAAGGGGTCATTTGGGGGGTATTTGTATTTTCCTAGCATGTTAGGGCCTCAAGAAGTGAGATGTGTCATCAGTACATCAGGTGTGATCAATTTTGAATGATTGGTACCATAACTTGTAGACTCTATAACTTTCACACTAACTAAATAATATACCCCGATTTGGGTTATTTTTACCAAAGAAATATAGCAGTATAAATTTTGGACTAAATTTATGAAAAAAAATTACTTATTTGCAAACATTTTTTATAGAAACTGAAAAAATTTTGTTTTTTTTCACATATTTTGGTCTTTTTTTCACTTACATCACAAAAAATAAAAAAAAAAACAGTGGTGATTAAATACCACCAATATAAAGCTCTATCTCTGTGAAAAAAAATATAAAGGTTTTGTTGGGGTACAGTGTAGCATGACTGAGTAATTGTCAATCAAAGCAAAGAAAGCTGAAAATTGGTCTGAGCTGGAAGGGAGTAAAAGTGCCGTGGTTAATAAATCTTATTATTCCTTGCAGAATGAACAAGTTTACAATATCATATAGAAAAAAATTAATTTACAGTTCCTTGATCTACTTTATTTTTTAAATTATTTATTCAAATCTATGACAGAGGGAAACTGCAGGAAACTGGATGGTTTAGATTGATTGCTATTTTTCCCTTACCTGTTATGAGTGAAATTTCTACTGATATGCATCAGAATCAATAGGAAAGGTAAAGGTACAGTGGGTTATATAAGGCTTTTTGGGTATTAAAAGTCCTAAAAATTTTAGAGACTATGAATTTTTATTTTTTGCTTTTTTGTGTATAAAAGATTTTTTGATTTTTTTATCTGTAACATTATACTGTACTAATAAATAAAAAATATAGTGTCTTTTATTATCCCTCTTTTTATTTTATTGCCAAAAAATTTTTTTTTTGACAAATGCTCATATTAAAACATAAATTTATAAAGCACATAATTAAGGGTTTTTCTCAGGCAAAAAATTAGATTACCATCAGGGGAGTAGTTACTGTGAGAAAAACAAGGCGTTTGCCTCAGGCAGCATTTTCATGGGGACTATGCCGCCACCTGGAAGAAAGGGACCAGGGCACCAGCATAAGGCAGCTTTGCCCTATGTAGACAACATCTTTGCACCAGCTCTGAGGACAAGAAGAGAAGATCGGGGAGAGCAGAGACTCCACCTGCAGGGAGACAGGGCAGGCAGCCAGGCAGTGGATGGAGTTGGTGATTATCTAATCAGAGAGAGATGACAACTCCGAGCGTGGTGAGCTCACACACTGTTATGGAATAATTGGAGGAATGCAAGAACTCCAGAACACAAGTGTCTGCACCTGATGATCTCTCCCCGATCCTTTATTTACACTTCCGTTGACAACCCCCTGCCTATGTCTGCCCAGCTGTCACTCCTCCTACACTCCTCTACCCCTGAGTAATCAGTGATTTTTTTCCCCTACGGCCGACCCATGCTTCAGCCCACCCCGCCACCAAGGAGCCAGAGAGAAGACATCAGGGCACAGCACAGCTCCTATGATCCTATCACAGCAAGGAGTTTAAGAAGAGGCTGTGGCTGGAGCAGCTCATCCTACTCTATGACTACCAGGTGAGGGTAACGATCATACACCCGGGAAAGAGGGGGGGTGAGTGCTGGAAAAACACATCTGTGTCTGTCTGTGGCTCTGAAAATGGCCAGCTTTGCTTTCTCTCTCTCTCTCTCTCTCTCTCTCTCTTTCCCTGCTTTTTTTTTAATTTATGGGGGGGGCACCCAATTTTTGTGTTGCGTAGGGCAGTACAAAATCAAAATACACCACTGATTACCATATTAATATCTTTAGAAGTAGATGGCCTATTAAGTGAATGTCATGTTCCAGAAATTTCAAATAATTAAATCATTACCGCTTTTAAGTCACAAATTATAAGCAATAAGCAATAAATAGGTTAGGCCAAACACTGTGGATATACATGGTTAAAAGCTTAAATTAATGCAAATGTTGTCAATGAGCCACACTTAGTCACTGTACAAGTTTTCTGTGTCAATGAGGCCCACAGCAACTACTCCTCAGTCAAGCACATATAATACGCAGCTATTTAAAGGATGCGTTTACACTGTGTGCAAAATTATTAGGCAAGTGAGTAGTTTGACGAAATCATTATTTTTATGCATATTGTCCAACTTCAAGCTGTATGAACTTAAATGCTTATTGGATTTAAGCATATCAGGTGATATGTATTTGTGTAATGAGGTAGGATGTGGCCTAAGGAGATCAATAATTATTAAGCAGTTTCTTTTCCTCTGGCAAAATGAGCCACAAAAGAGATTTAGCTGACTCTTAAAAGTCAAAAATTGTAAATAGTATTTCAGAGGGATGCAGAACTCTTGAAATTGCTAAGATATTGGGGCGTGATCACAGAACTATCAAACATTTTGTTGCAAATAGTCAACAGGGTCGCAAAACATGTGTTGAGAAAAAAAGATTTGAGAAGAATCAAACGTGAAGTTACCAGGAACCCATTATTCCTCAGTGCTGTTATATTCCAGAACTGCAACCTACCTGGAGTGCCCAGAAGGTGTTCAGAGCTCATAGACATGGCCAAGGTAAGGGAGGCTGAAACCCAACCACTACTGAACAAGACACATACATTGAAACGTCAAGACTGGGCCAATAAATATCTGAAGACAGAATTTTCAAAGGTTTTATGGACTGATGAAATGAGAGTGACACTTGACAGACCAGATGGATGAGCCCCTGGCTGGATCAGTAAAGGGCACAGAGCTCCACTGCGACTCTATGCCAGCATGGTGTAGGTGGGGTACCGGTATAGGCTGGTATTTTTAATAATGAGCTAGTTGGATCTTTTCAGGTTGTAGATGGACTCAAAATCAATTCCCAAACTTACTGCTATTTTCAGAAGAAACTTTCTTCAAGCATTGGTACAGGATAAAGTCTGCATATTTCAAGAAGATCATGATATTTATGAAGGACAATGCTCCATTGCATGCATCGAAGTACTCCACTGCGTGGCTAACCAGTACAGGCCTTAAAGATGGCCCCCTTCTTCACCTGATCTAAACCTAATTGAAAACTTGTGGGCCCTTCCTAAACAGGAGATTTACTGTGAAGGAAAACAGTACACCTTTCTGAACAGTGTTGGGGGGGGGGGGGGTAGCTGTGGTTGCTGCTGAGCAAAAAGTTGATGGTCAACAGATCAAGAAACTGGCAGACTCCATGAATGGAAGCCTCTTGACTGTTATTGAAAAGAAGGGTGGTCATATTGGTCACTGATTTTTTTTTTTTTAAATGTCAGGAATGTTTATTTGTAAAGTTTGAGTTGTTTGTTTATTTATTCTCATTTTAACAGATGAAAAGAAAAGTGAGATGGGAAAATTTTTGTTTTTTATTTAGTTGCATAATAATTCTGCACACTAATAAGGATATAATACTCATGCCCTGCCACAAATAAATGATAAGCTACAAGCACCTAAATGTGTTCCCACAACAATAAAACTCCCCAAGAATAGTGCTGCGCTGCCCCCTAGTGTTCCAAAAAAAATACACTAATAATAAATAAACATCCTCCTGAGCATCAAACCCAATGTGTAATAGAATAAATATGTGAAACAAATAAAGTCAACAGCAAATAAAAAAATAAAAAAACAATGTCTGAGCCACTAAATCCAAATGATAAGTGAAACAGATATGAAAAATACGTCAAAATCAAGTAGCAATAAACAGCTGGCCAGCCTATAATAAACACCCAGTTGAGCTCAAGAATAAAGTGTAAAAAATACAAAAACAGTAAAATATGAAAATATGTGAAACATATATCATACTGTATATATACGTATAATGTGTGTATGTATATACTGTATATTATTATTTTAGGTACTTATATAGTGCCGTCAATTTATTCAGCGCTTTACATATAGTACATTCACATCAGTCCCTAACCCTCAAGGGGCGTACAATCTAAGGTACCTAACTCACATTCATATACAAGGGCCAATTTAGACAGGATCCAATTAACCTACCAGCATGTCTTTGGAGTGTTGGAGGAAACTGGAGTATCCGGAGGAAACCCACGCAGGCACAGGGAGAACATGCAAACTCCAGGCAGGAGGTGCCGTGGCTGGGATTCGAACCAACGACCCTAGTACTGCCAGGCGGAAGTCCTAACCATTTAGCCACTGTGCTGCCTATACACACATATATATAAAATATAATCACAATAGCAGTACCTTAATTATAGAATAGTGTTGATGTAACACATTATATTTAAAACGATCTTCCAGGAAAATGTTCATAATGTACATTATAGGGAGAACTGTAAAGCACCAGTACAGGCAGTCACTTTTTATGCATCCAGAACTGGAGTTAACTAGTAGTGGTTATTACAGCAAACCTGTGAAAAGTCTCAGTTCATCCACCCGATATCAAACCATATGATAGATATGTATTCAATCTACACCTTGTAAGTCTATGTTCATGAAATATCCAGATAAAAAAAGTCCATATTAATAATGCTCTAGCATCAATCACAATAATCAGTCCTCAACAGTATTGCAATGGGAGCCTGATGGGTTTATTCCAATTCTCCAAAAATAATCAGTGCCAAGTAGGCTCCAGTCATGCCACTGGGATAACCTGTATGTATGTATGAACCCTGAGTTTCATTGGTCCAAAGCTGACTGCATTAGCCCAAGCTGACTGCTTCAGGGGAAACACACAGCTATTTTTTAAAGAAGGAAAGCCTCAAACCCCTTTTTTGTTATTTTTAAGAGGGTTTTTTTTTAACACAGAGGGTTTTTTTTTTAACACAGAGGGTTTTTTTTTTTTTTCATCACAGCAAACATGATTATGATCACACATGAGGTTCAATTCACAAAGCTAACACTATAGGAGAAGGATTTTTATTTTTTAAAATGTGAAATTGTATTTCAGAGTAAAATAAAGTTTTAAAAGTATGGTTAAATAAAAATATTTATTCTAGATCTAAAGCTTGGTAAACTGAGCTCCAGATGTGACAAAAAATAAGATATAGATTAAAAAAAATAATAATAATATTTTGCTTATACAGTAACTTGATTTTGGCATATTTTGTTAATTGGGTTTTTTTTAGACAATAAGGAAAAATGGAGCAAAAATAGAAACCTTTTCACTGGACACATGTTGTGTTACAGTCTTTTTTTTATCATTGTAGTTTTTTAATAAAGATTTTACCGTATTACAATAAAAGCCCCATGAGACCTTGATGATAACAGAAGTTACAAATATCCAATGATATAGAAGAATTCATGGAAAAGAGTAAGGACAAACTTAAGAACATAACAAAAAAGACATTTTGTCAAATGTGAGAACATCCCAGCAAGAAACCGGGACATCTTAGAAGTCCTCCAACTAGAAGTTCAATTATTATTCCACAAAACAAGGAAGATACAATAAAGTTGGTAAGGCAGCCATTAATACAAAGCATAAAATAGTATGCCTGCAAAACAATTCCAGTTTAAGAGGATAGTCAGAGAGAGGTGACATTCCAGGCAGGCAAGCAAGGCAAAGGAGAGCCCATATGTTATTAAAAGCTTTCAAAGAATCACCTGAGCATGTGAAGGAACTTCAGTTGATCTCCAATGGTGAGGAATATGTCTCCTAGCTGCTGTTAAAACATTTGCTAAAAGCTTTTTGGAGTGTCTAGAGATACCCAAGAAGGGCAATCCTAGGAGGTAATGGAGTGGGTCCAAAGGTAAGGAGGTGTCTAGGATCTGCTCAAAACTTTGTTGAGCAGACACCAAAAAGGGCTGAAATTTAGGGCATAGCCATGATATGAGCTAATGTGCCTCTGTCCTGTGCATATCTCCAGTATGTCTCTGGCACCATCTGATTAAAAGAGTGTAGAACATCAAGAGTTTTAAAATTATAATTTTGTAAATGTTTTCTTAATGGCTAATCGATAAGTTTTAGCAGCCATGTCCCAGATTGTATGCTATAGTCTCTCTTTTAGCTGCTATTTATACCTAATTTTTTTCCTATTGCTTAAAAAAA